CCACCACCACCACCATAAGTCGGAGGAGGGGGGGGCTCCTCCTCCTCCTCCTCCTCCTCCTCCTCCTCATCCTCCTCCTCCTCCTCCTCGCCCTCCTCCTCCTTCCCCCCATCCAACTGACGGTGGTGGTGGTGGAAAACGGGCTCACCACTCCCTCCTCGGAGCAGCTGCAACCGGTCGAGACGCATGCGCGCTCGGCACCAGTGCGAGGGCCTGCACTCTGAGAACACTGGCCGCCCTCCATCCTCGAAGCTGTTGCGAACGCTCGAGGAGCGCGTGCACGACGCTGGGGCGCGATGGCCCAGTTCTGCAAAGGAATCACCACCGATCCCTGAAGAGCTGGCGCAAATGCGCGAACTAACAACAATGTTCAGCGCCATCTGCCCTCCTTCCGTGTAACCGCTGCCACGCTCAAGCTTCCGGGTCAGAAGTGGCTGAGGAAGTCCCGAGCGAAACACCGGGACCGGCCTACCGTCGCATCTAGTGGTGCGACTGGGCAAAGTTACTGACATTGAAAAAGGGTGACGTGGGAGGGAGGATGAAGATGAGAGGATGAGGACGAGCAGGAGGAAAATGTGGAGCGGGATGGAGAATAGAGAAGAGATGAGGAGGAAAGAAAGAGAATGAGAAGAACGTGGAAATACGAACATCGAGGAGGACGAGCAGTAGGAGGAGAATGACAAGGAACTGCCTCTCCCCTCCGCCCATCAACGAGCGTCGTCGTTCCACTTCTCCTCTTCGGGACCTGCTTCTAGCTTCTCCTCCCCTCCTCCTCATCCTCCCCGCCCTCCCCTCCAGCGAGTGGTAGGATCGAAAAGCACTGAGAGGGGAGAAGAGGAAGGAGGAAAGCCACAGAGGAGGAGAAGGACAGAGGATGGAGGACGACGAGGAAGAGTGGAAGGAGGGGGCAATTCAGAAGTGAAAACAAGGATAGCATGCCAATGCATTTGGTTTCACAAGCTGGGTTCTCCCGACATCTGGAGCCATGCAAAGCCGACAACCCAATTCACAATTGCACGCCCTTGCCGTCCTGGGGAGATCACGGAGAACAGCAGGAAGCTCACAGAAGCGAGACAAGGGACGCATAGAACCATAAACATGGTAAAGTGGCATTTCTGTTTACAAGTGGGGCCCCACTCATGATGTCTGAAATGTCGGTCGGGCAAGGCAAGGCGGAGGAGTAATAGAGGCAAGCGTGGATTGCAACTGGCAATCAGCATTTGGGCAACAACTATTTCGACAAAATACCATCGGTACAACGGCGAAGCCATAGTGAACCACCGAATGCTGTTCCAGCGGAGGGCCCCGTAGACGACACATGGTTGGAATCCAATCGACACCAGCTCTTCCGCGCGACACTGCACAGAATATCAGACTTGCGACCCACCGATGGCGTCAACGAGTCGAACAAAGTGGCTTGTGGCTAACGACATCCTGCTCGGGCTCACTACAAAGGAAGCCCAGCCTGTCAAACGGTGACTTGAGGACAAGGCTTCCACGACAAGTGCTTAAGCAAAGTCGCCGCCCACTCACCCAGAGTAGTCCGAGGCCGGCGTAAATCGTGATCCCATCGTCCAAAGAAACACCTCTAGTTGACAAAATGGTCGTCGCTACAAACGTATGATAAATTAGCAGTATCGCACCACTTGCAAAAACAACGCAACCAATATGTCAGCAACCTAGCGTGCAAACATCACAAACGCCATGGATGGACAGACTTCTCCCCATGACTGAGAGGCTATGAACGCACGTGGCCTCGCAGCGGCAATCAATTACCTTGGCAATTTCTGGGCTGACAGGCGATCCTTGCGAAAAGCCTACTGTGAGAGAATACGCTCCACGAGGGAGCTGACCAAAAAACAAATCCCATCGAACATGATGGCGTCAACCAGGTCGTAAACGTGTCAAAGCACGGAGCCACCTCCACGCTGGACTTCTGATTTCCGCGTCTCCAAGAAGAAAATGTCTGCAGACCCTGCTGAGTATCGTTTAACCGATCCCCATCTCCAGCGGCGTGGCCTGGGCCCCATTGGCAACCTTACCCCCCCAGATGGGGATATAGGCCGTTCCCTTTGGGTTTCGAGGGGTGTATCCCCAACTGGGTTGATAATTTGGTGGGGGTCTCGAAGGGGATGGGGATGGGGATGGGGATCGGTTAAACGATACTGACCTGCACGAACGTGCGCCATCGCACGCCCCCACAGTGTCGACGAAACGCCAACTTGCAAGCGGGACGTGTGGAGACAGCCGTTTGGGAGGACGGCCTGCCTACCATCCGCCCTCATTACAACGTCGTCTACCGATTGGCCCACGGCATGTTCGACAGCATGCAGCGATGCACTCAAGGGGGGAAGCATGAAAATGGCCCGCGCCTGCAAGACAACGTTGTCTTGCTCTGGCGGTGGCGTTGCCGCCAGCATACACGTGTGGATGGCAGACGCGCCAGTTTCGTCATGGCATGGCCAGAGGTACCCCGACACATGCACACGCGCCGTAAACCTCCATGTGCCAATAGCCCAGTTGTAACAGCAAAGCGGCACGAGCACGATCTTTCGAAGGTCCGCGTCGATTCCTTGGGTCGGCGCTGGACCCCCCCCCCTTTCCCTGCCGCGCAAAAGGCGCGCCAGGGGCGGCGCTGGAGGCGCCGCCGGGGGGGGGGGGGGGGAGGCCCAGCCTCGGCGCCGACCCACGCAGACGTCCACGCAGACGTCCACGCCCGCGTACGTCCACGCAGACGTCCACGCAGACGACCTCGGGGGGGAACCCTCGCAGACGGCCACGCCCGCGCACGCCAGCAGGGCGACGCGCCCTGGAGGGCGGACCCGGCCAAGAGGCCTCCGCACGCGGGCGCCCCGCACCGCGCGAATCATCTGCGCCTCCGGGGCACACACTGCTCGCGGAGCGCGCCCGGGGCGGCGCCCGCGGCGCCGCCGGGGGGGCCGCCTGGGCCCCTCGTGGCGCCGGGAGGCGCTTGAGGCGCGGGGCTTCGGAGGCAGGCGCAGGGGAGCAGGAAGGGAGGCAGGCCAGATTTCGCAAGGAAGAGGAAAATAGTAAACAAATGCTGCAACAGAGTCGTCCAGGCATCATCGAAGAATCGTCCCCGTACTATGTTAAACTATTTCTGGATTTTTCTCCTGCAGATAGGCGGCAAGCCAGGGGGGGAAGTGAGAAGGGGCGGGCCTTCTCAGAAGGCTCGGAAGTCCCCTGGACTTCTGAGAAGTTTTCTAAGCCTTCCCCGAAGACTCAAAAAACTTCTCAGAAGCCGCAAGGACTTCTGAGAAATCACACCGCCTCCTGAGAAGCCCTTCTCCTTCTCACTTCCCCCCTTCGCTTGCCGCCGAGCAGAAGAACAGCATGACCTCCTCCGCCCTCCCCCGAAGCCGCCTGCCTGTGCGGCCCTGTCCTCCTCGAGTGCCCTTCCGTGCCCAGGCCTTCGACGTCGCGGCCGCGTCGTGGCGTGGACCCTCCGGAGGCGTCGGCCCGCCACTTCCCCCACTGGCCATCGCTCGGACGTCCATTCCCTAAGTTTTTTTGTTTGGTTTCGTGCGTGGTTTTTTCACAGAATGATCAGGGATGCTCCTCGATGGTCCTCGACGACGGAGAAATGCACACGTCCGAGCGATGCCGAGCCCAGGACTGGGCCCCCGACGGCCACACATCGGGAGAGCACGCCGGATTGAGCAGACCACGTCGTCGGAGACCTGAGGCTTCGCGACGCGATGATGATCGGCGGCGCGCACTGGGGGGGGGGAAGCGAGAGGGGGGGCGGGCCCTCTCAGAGGGCTGGGAGGTCCCCCGGCCTTCGGAGAAGTATTCGAAGCCTTCCCCGAAGACGCAGAACAAAACCTGCTCAGAAAGAACCAGGGCTTCTGAGCAGCCCCGCCGCCGTCTGAGAAGGCCTTCGCCTCAGGAAATCATCGTCTTTTTTCCAAAAATTTGCTTCAAGAGCGCGCGTTCATTCATCACCATGACCTCTACGTTAGCCGGTGAGATACCGTGGCCCCAGCCACGATCTCTCCCCCTTCAGCGTCGCCCCCTCCCGGCCGCCCCCGCGTCCTCGGGGCCAGCCGCCTCCGCCCGCGCCCACGTCGCTGGCCGCGCCGCGGGGGCACCGTCGGCGGTCGCGAGCAGGTCGTCCTCCAGGGAGGCTTCCTCGTGCCCGCGGCTCTCCTCCTTGCTCCGCCCTGCTGCTGCTGCTGCTGCTGCTGCTGCTGCTGCTCCTCGGCTCCCTTCTCTGGATCCATCCTGGTCCTCCTCCTGCCCCGTCCTCCTCCGCCCTGTTTCCTTGTCCACAGCTCCTCCCTGCCACACCCCGAGATGTGTCTGTGGGGCGGGCCTGGCGTTCCACCTGGCACTTTTTCCCCACGTATGATCCTGAAGCTTGATATTTGCAACGGCTTCACGGATGAAAATATCGCCTCGGCACCGCGCACATTCGACGCAAAGTTTGTCACCGTTTCACGGATGGAAGGCGATTCCTTTTCAACATGTGGCTCTCGCTTTCGCGCCGCGCACATTCGTCATAAAAGTTTGCAGCGGTTCCACGGACGAAGGAGGTACTTTTCAAATAATATGGTTCCTGACTTTGCACCGCAAGGATTCATCGTACAAGTTTGCAGCAGGTTCGCGGATGCAAGGCGGGTCGCTCTCAAAACGAAGTTCTCCCCTCAACGCCGCACACGCTCATGGTAAACATTTGCTACCGTTTCAGGTATGTAGGGCGCCGCGCACATTCGCCATCAACGTTCGTAACAGCTTCACGGATGGAGGCAATTGGTTTTCAAAATGTGGTTCTCGCCTTGGCGCCGCGCGCATTAACCTTAGAATGTTGCAATTGTGTAGCGGATGGAGGGCGGCTCCTGTTAAATATGTGGTTCTCGCCTCAGCGCCGCTCAAACTCCTCTTACACATCTGCAACAATTCCAATTATGGAGGGGGGCGTTCTCGAAATGATGATCTCACCTTCGCGCCGTGCACAATCGTCGCAAACACTTGCCAGATGTTCGAGGATGGACGGGGGGGCGTTTTCAAAATTGTGTTTCCGCCCCCGCGCCGAGCACATTCGTGCACTGGCTTCAAGGATGGAAGGCGGTTCCTTTTCGAATTTCGGTTCTCGCTTTAGCGCCGCGAACATTGGACACAAAATCGTGCGCCATGGTCAGGGGATGGTCAGCGGCCGTTTGTAACATGTGGCTCTCGCCTCAGGGCCGCGCGCATTCGGTTCTTATTCACGCCGCGTTTAGCAGGATAGAGGACCGCTCTTTTCCCGCACATCCTAAATGGGGTTCTGTTTTTCTCTGCACACCCCTTGCGCAGGGTCATTTCTCCTCCCGTTTTTCGATGCACACACGCACACACACAGTCGCACACTCACATCATCATCGTCAGCATCATCAATACAAACACCATATCATCATCACGTACACAATCGCTCACACTCCTCTGGCCGCCCTCATTCACCCAAAGTTTATTCAACAACTTCCCCACTCAGTCATTCACTTCTCCTGAATGGGCCACTCACTCACACATAACTACCACTGGGTAGATCGCGAAGATTTCTCAAGCGGAAACCCCTTTCCTATGGGGCCCGCAGATCATCTTACTAACCCGAACGGGCCATCGGAACCTGGTAACTGTCGTCACTTTGGGCCTCCTCAAGCTTGCGGAAACCTCGTTTGTGATTGATTTGCGAAAAAATGTCAAGCGGGAGTCTCCTCCCTATGGGGCCCGCAGCTTCTATTATCAATCCGAACGGGTCATCGGGACGTTGTAACTGTCTCGTTACTGTCTGGCTCTTCAGGCTTGCGTGTTGAGGAAGTCTTGAGCGGGAGCCTCGTCAGTGAGTGGATTGTGAAAAAGTCTCAAGCGGGAGTCCTTCCCCATGGGGCCCGCGGCTCACGATATTAATCCGAACGGCTCAGCGGAAACGTATAACCGTCGTCACTTCTGGGCCCCTGAAGCCAGAATATGAAGGAACTATCGGGCGGGAGCCTTTTTTTTATGAATTGCGAGGAACTCTCTGACGGGAGCCCCCTCCCTATGGGGCCCACAGCTCCTAGTATTGATGCGAGCGGGTCGTCTAAAACTCGCAAGCGTCGTCAATTTTTGGCTTCTGAGGCTTGACGCTTGAGGAAGTCTCGGGCGGGGGCCTCGTCTGTGAATGAACTGCGAAGAAGTCTCAAGCGGGAGCTGCCTGCAGCTCGTGTTATTAGTCCGGGCAAAGCATCGGAAACTTGTATATGTCATCGTGGTTAGCCTTTTTAAGCTTGAGCAACGAGAAAGTCTCAAGCGGGAGCCTCGTTTGTGAGTGGATTGTCAAGAAGTCTCAGGCGGGAGCCCCCTCCCTATGGGGCTCGCGCCGCGCCACGCGCATGCGGACCATGCTGATCCTGCGGCCGACGCCGCGAGGGCCGCCACGCCCTTGCGGAAAGCGCTCCTGGCGTTCGACAAGAGAGCCGGGAGCTCCAGGGAAGAAGCGGAGCAGCTCGCGGCATAGCTCGTGCTGCCTCCCGCCTGAGCGCGGCTACGCCCCGTTCGAAGCCAGCGGGTGTGTCCCAACCGCTTGGTTTCTCGCGCCAGCGGCTCGCGGGGTTGCCCCGACGGCCTGGCCCGCGGGGTTGCCCCAACAGCTGCGCGATGTGGCCATTAGACAATGCGCCCGTGCTGGCCTAGGCGGCGACGGCGCCGAGAAAAACCGCCATGCGTGCTGATGCCAGGAGGAAGGAGTTCTGCACGAGGGGAACGGGCGGGGTAGCGATGAGGAGGGGGAGAAGGAGGAGGTGCAGGAGGAGAAGGGAACGGACGAGGAGGAGGGGGAACATGAGGAGGAGAGGGAAGAGGAGGAGGAGGAGGAGGAGGAAGAAGAAGAGGAGGATGAAAAACCAGAAAAGGAAAACAAATGCAACGAGTAGGACGAGAAGGAACAGGAGAAGGAGGATGAGGATAATGAGGGGGAGGAGGAGGACGCAGAGGTCGGAAGGAAGGCCTCCGCCAGTCGAAGGAGGAAAGGGCGAGGTGCAAGCTAAATGAATTATCATGCGGAGTCCTATCGTCGGAGTAATTCACCATGGAGTTACTGGCTGAGGCCCCGTTAAGCTTAAAGACCAACAGTTTCAACGCACGCAAGCCTGCACGGATCCATGGCGGCGGCACGAAGCTGGGAAAGGCTTGCGGTCAGCGTGTCGCGCCGTAGTGTGGTGGGGACTTGGGTCGGAAGGGTGTAACGCAGCATCGCTCAAGCATCTTGGCTTACTCTGGCACTCCATCCTCCCCCGCCTCCTCCTCCTAGTCAAATTTTGGTATCCCCTCTACCTTCGTGTTTCTTCCTCCTCCTCGTCCTCCTCCTCATCCTCCTCCATTCCTTTTCCTTATAGATAACTCCTCCCTGTCGCACCCCGATGCTGGTCCCAAGGGCGGGACGGGCGTTTCGATTGAGACTTCCTCACCACTTGAGAGCCTGAAGCTTAACAACTGGCAACAGTTTCGCAGATGGAGGGCGGGTCGTTTTCAAAGTGTGGCTCTCGCCTTAGCGCCGCAGCCGATTGCAAGAGCTTCACGCATTGAGGGCGGGCCGTTTTCGAAATGTGGCTCTCGCATTAGCGCCGCGCACACTCGGCTTAGCCATGTGCTAGAGTTTCGCGGATTGAGGGCGGGTCGCTTTCAACATGTGGCTCTCGCCTTCGCGCCGCGCACATTCGTTCTAAAAGCTTGCAAATGGTTCAAGGATTGAGGGCGGATCGTTCTAAAAATATTGCTCTCGAGTTGGCGCCGGTCACATTAGTTTTAAACATGTGTGGAAGAGTGTCACGGATTGAAGGCTGCGCAGATTCCAGTTACGTTGGTTCGCGGGATGAAGTCCGAGGAATGGCGGTCTGGTGCGATTCAGGATCGCCAAGACATAACAATCAGGTTAAATCGTGGCGTCGAAGTCCTGAGAATAGAGCTCTGGAACGCCCCAAGATTTTCAAACGGTTGTCCCCCAAAAGAGCAATTCCCTCGGTGGACATGAACCCTTGTGGGGGCCTGTGAAGAGGGAGCTTGGATGGAGGATGTGTTCAAACATCGCTGCGTTGATGAGTCTTGGGATTGCACTGGTCCTCTTCCTCCTCCTCCACCTCCACCTCCTTCTCCTCCATCTCCTCCTCCTCCTCCTCCTCCTCCTCCTCCTCCTCCTCCTCCTCTTTTGTCATCAGGAGGAGGGAGGAGGAGAGGGATGAGAAGGAGCAGCAGCAGCGCCCGTCGAGACAGTGAGGAGGCGAGGACCCCTTCCACCTGACAATGGAGGCTGACAGTGGGGCGCCGTCTTCGTCGCGTCTACTGCCGCCGAGGCCGCCCGCGGCCGATCCTGCCGAGGGGCAGCTCCACGGCTTGCGGCGGCTTGCAGGGAGGCCGCCCATGTGAAAATGGAGGAGAGGGAGGAGCAGGAGGAGGAGGAGGAGGAGGAGGAGGAGGAGGAGGAGGAGGAGGAGGAGGAGGGGGAGGGAGGGCATGGGAGGAGGAGAGGAGGAGGAGGGAGGAGGAGGAGGAGGAGGAGGAGGAGGAGGAGCAGCAAAACGAGGAGGAGGATAAGGAGGAGGAGGAGGAGGAGCAGCAGGACGAGGAGGAGGAGGAGGAGGAGGACCAGGATGGCATGGCCAGGAGGAGGAGGAGGAGCAGCAGGAGGAGGGGAAGGAGGGAGGGAGGGCATGGGAAGGAGGGGGGCGAGGGGGAAGACGAGAGAGCAGGAGAAGGAGGGGGAAAACAAACCAAAAAACAAGAATGCAGCCTCCGCCCGGCAGGCCGGCCGCCGGCCAAGAGGTGGCGCAGGCAGACGCGGGGAATTGAGATGCAGCCACAAATGAAGGGCCGCTGGGACACAGACGAATAAGTAGACACAAATAACAGGATTCCCCATAGTTCCACATATTTTCTGGGCTTATGCCTTCCCCCCACTTCCCATATTTTCCCAGATTTTCTTGGGAATCGACGATTAATTGTGTCTGTGTGTTTTTTCCCTCCTTAGAAAATATGCGACGCAGAAAAGTATCATGTAAAACATCTGGGCCAGCGCCCTGGAGGTTTCTGAAAACAAGCCTGGGCCAGTTTCTGCCGTCCACGCTGAAAGGGCGAACGTGCTCGAGAAGCTGGGTCGGCTCTCCGGAAGGTTGGCTGAG